CAAAAAAAATATTTTTAAAATATATCTTCACACAATTCTATTTTTACCTCATACTCTGTAAAGTCAATTTCAAAAAATTATTATTTCCGATTCTAATTATAAGACCTCATTTGTAGATTGATTATTTTTAATCAATCTACATATGAGGTCTTATAATTAGAACTATTGTATATAGATATCTACAATAGTGTAGCTAATTTGCAGTTTTTTTTATACATAATACTGCATTAACATTGACATGAATATGATTATTCAGTTTTTGTTGGCTGAGCTCCCTCTCTTGCCTTCGCCTGCTGTTTTTTTTTTGCCTGTGTCGTGGCCTGCAAGAAAGCAAGAACCATTGGCAGAAGTTTGAGCAATATGTAGCTCAGTTTGAACAGTCAATTGTGGAGCTTGCTTAAGACTCCCTCCCCGATCAGCTTTCAAATTAGTTGGAAAGAAATAAGGTTATAGGTAGAACTGGGAATCAGGGCCAGCCTTTCAGGGCTGATGGGCTTAAAATGGTCGACCTTCCAGGGCTGAAATTTCAAAAATACCCTAATTTGTTAGGCCCGGTCCTTAAGCCACAGGGTTCAGGGCCGGCCCGTGGGCTTTTAGCCCGTTTGAGAAAAAATACTATTTTTTATATTTATCATAACTTTTATAAAAAAAATAAACCAATAAAATTATTAAAAAAAACATAAATATGAATAAAATTAAGTCACAAATATAAAATATCATCATATATAAATATTCATCAACATCCAAGAATATCTAAAACATTCATTAACAAGATAACAACATCCAAAAGTTTTATCTATAGTGTAATTGTGCAATAAATAAACACTATCATTAATCTTTTGAAACTTCATCATCACTATAATTAATTACTCTTCTTCATAAGTATGCTTTTCTTTTGTAACAAAAATATTAAGTTTTTCTTCTTTATAGGAATTTTACTTTTAAATTGTACAATCTAGCTATTATTTTACTTTAATGTGAGAAACGTTGTTGTTGAAACTCATGAATTTCTAATTCAAATTATAGAATCACAAGTTATATAAGTATAAAAATACTCTATTATCCAATATATATATAGTTTAAAAATATCAACGCATATAATATAAATCAAATCATTATTAAAGTCCAAATTAACACATTTTTTAAAAATTTAATTGGATAAATTATTGTCTAACACTAAATTTAATTTTAAAATGATAATAATAACTAAATATTTGAAATATTATTAACAATATAAAAAATTAATAATATTAGAATTATATAAAAAAATTTAAAAAACAAAAAAATTATAAAAGGGCTTAAAAGGACAGGCCCGCGGCCCTCCATGGCCGATCCTTTTAAGCTCTCGACCCTCCAGGCTTATTTCCTATTTGAAGGGAAAAATATCAAACCTGGCCCTTATAATTTCAGGGCATAAACGGGCCGGCCCGACGGGCTCAGCCCGTTTTCCCGGCTTTAGTTATAGGACTCGTTTGTTAACGTTTTATTACTCCACTGACATTTACTCTATTTGTCCAGTTGTTTTGGCATGCATAGCACTGTATACCATGTACTAATAACTGGCCAGTGCACAGAATGTTTTTGGGAGAAAAATTTTTTAAGAAAAAATCTAAAAAAAATGACGGCTGACTTTTAAAATTTTAAATAAAAAATTATTACAAAAATGTATTGTTATTTACTTTTTAAATATAGTTATTTCTTTATAGGTGTAGTAATCAATACTAATTTAGAAATTTAAAATTCAACAATCATTTTTTTCATATTTCTCAAATCTTAATTTGGAAGATGGGACTTCCTTCCTGTAAAATATTGCTATAAACGGGAATGTGTATGAATAAAAATTCAAATTGTTCAGTTTATACTATTTTTTGTGTTTAATATAATATCTATTTGATTAAATTGGATAAATAAAGAAAGGTAATTGAATTAATTATTTATAAAAATTATGTGTTGATTTTTTTAAAATATCCTGGATTGAAATTATCCTCTCATGCAAATTCATTTTAATGCATGCAATCAAAAATCGTCGAATTCAAGCTTGAACCTTGAGCAAGAAATCATGCAGATGTTATTTTGAGGTATTAGCACACACATCATCACGAAAGCTTCGATTTGGGCGGGGGTGAGGATTACTCTTTCAAATTCATTCTGCGTGTATTTAGCAGAGCAAAGTCTGGATACTAACCTATCGTACTCATACATACCTCGTCTCGTCCTTATCATCCGGGTTAAACTCATATGGCTTTCTTTTATAAATTTTACATGAATAATTTATATGAAAATGAATTTTCGCTAAACTGGGTAAACTGTATCTAAACACAACGCGACAAAATGGAAAAGATGCAACAACAAAATGGAAATCCTTTTATTTAATTCGTAAATTGAAGATACAATTGTATACTGAGGAACCATTAACATTTTTTTTGGAAGAATTTCATAAAAAAAGTTTGAAATTACTAAATTCTAAATCAGAATAGGTTCCAACACTTTAATAAGTTTTGATGGCACTGTACCTGCAATAACAACACATTTTTGTAAGAATTATTTATTTGAGATTTAGTTTTTTTTTTTTTTTTGCGTCATTACCTTCTTTGCTCTTTGGTCAAAAACAAAAGGGTCGTGCATCATACACATGGATGTATCTTTGTGTGATGAAAGATAATAACTAATTTGTTTTATGTTGGACACAGCCTTGAACATCATACGAGAATGGAAATATCTCATCCCTTTACGAAGTTCAAAGGTATGCAGATCTTTTTCCTGGTTGGGAGCCCGATTAAGGCCCTTTCTGGATTGAAGCCCGTATTTGCTATAATGCTTTGAGAATAGGAGTTCTACGCGGACATACGACCCAAGAAAAAAACGCTCAGGAAGCTCAGGGGAAAAAAAGAAAGAAAAGGAAAAATACCAAGACACACGGAGGTGTATTTCTCCGAATCTATCCACTAATGAAAAAAGAAGAAGCATATAACTGTTATTAGAAGAAGAACCTTTAATTTAGAACTCATTTTTTTAGAGACTGCTTAATGCATATAATACTATTCAGTTTTAATTATTTTAAGGGAAAATGACAGATAAAGAAGGTGGAATATCTGAAATTCCAATTTGGGAAGCTAAGCAAATGTAATGACAATGAGGGAAGTACTTCCCAAATTGGAATTTTGAAATTCAGTGAAATGACAAAATGCCCTTTGTCTTTTTTTTTTTTCAAAAAAAACACCCAACCTCTCACCGGTGGCCGGCCGCCGGCAACCGCCGCCGGCAATTGGCCGCCGTCGGCCGGCAGCCGCCACCGGGCGCCGCCGCCGGCGGCCGGTGTGGTGGCTGCCGGTGGAAGTTTTTTGTAATAGTTTTTTTGTGTGTGGGAGAATATTACAAGAAGTGGTAGGGGTGGGATTTGATCCCACGACCCCTTGGCCATTTGGGCCAACAAAAGGACAGATGACCATTGGGCCATCAAAGACTTCTTAGCTTTATAATGCAAACAAAAATATAAGTTGACTCTTTTACTGTGACTCCAGCCCGTGACAATAATTTACCTCAGGATGACAAGTTTTAATTGAGAAATAACAAGTCTAAATTTGATATTAACAAAGCGACTTTTCCTGATACATAATAAGAAGTAACAGTATATTAATTAAAAATGACAGTTTATTTGAATATGACACGTCTTTACTGAAAAATGACACGTCTAAACGTGAGATTAACAATATGCCTTTTTTATATATATATAACAAGAAGTAGCATGTACATTAATTAAAAATGACCATAATTTATTTGAAAATGACACATCTTTACTGAAAAATGACAAGTCTAAACTTGAGATTAACAATGTGTCTTCTCCTGATACATAACAAGAAGTAGCATGTACATTAATTAAAAATGACCATAATTTATTTGAAAATGACATGTCTTGTTATGTATCAGGAGAAGACATATGTTAATGCTACTTTTTTAATTAATGTACATGCTACTTCTTGTTATGTATCAGGAGAAGACACATTGTTAATCTCAAGTTTAGACTTGTCATTTTTCAGTAAAGATGTGTCATTTTCAAATAAATTATGGTCATTTTTAATTAATATACATGCTACTTCTTGTTATATATATATAAAAAAGGCATATTGTTAATCTCACGTTTAGACGTGTCATTTTTCAGTAAAGACGTGTCATATTCAAATAAACTGTCATTTTTAATTAATATACCGTTACTTCTTATTATGTATCAGGAAAAGTCGCTTTGTTAATATCAAATTTAGATTTGTTATTTCTCAATTAAGACTTGTCATCCTGAGGTAAATTATTGTCACGGGCTGGAGTCACAGTAAAAGAGTCAACTTATATTTTTGTTTGCATTATAAAGCTAAGAAGTCTTTGATGGCCCAATGGTCATTTGTCCTTTTGTTGGCCCAAATGGCCAAGGGGTCGTGGGATCAAATCCCACCCCTACCACTTCTTGTAATATTCTCCCACCAAAAAAAAAAAACTATTACAAAAAACTTCCACCGGCAGCCACCACACCGGCCGCCGGCGGCGGCGCCCGGTGGCGGCCGCCGACCGACGGCGGCCAATTGCCGGCGGCAGTTGCCGGCGACCGGCCACCGGTGAGAGGTTGGGTGTTTTTTTAAAAAAAAAAAAGACAAAGGGCATTTTTGTCATTTCACTGAATTTCAAAATTCCAATTTGGGAAGTACTTCCCTCATTGTCATTACATTTGCTTAGCTTCCCAAATTGGAATTTCAGATATTCCACCTTCTTTATCTGTCATTTTCCCTTATTTTAAAATGTTAAATTATTACTACAAAGACACAGAAGCCAAAGCGGTTAGTAGCATGAAACAAGGATTCCAACCAATTTACCAGAACTCGGAAAGACAAAACGACGTCGTACTGGCTGTGCTGCTTTCAGCCTCAGGCGGGATCTGAATAATGAATATGCATAAATAAGGTTTTTTTTTTTTTGGGTTGCAAAATAAGGTTTTATTTTCCCTAAAAAAGGAGGGAATATCTTGAAGCTCGCTGGGAAAAATCTCAGGGAAGAGAAACCTAAAACCGCAAGTCAGCAATTCCAAGCTCTGCAGGAGTAGTGGTGATTGAAGTCGAAGCTTGAGTTGATCCAGCGACAATGTCATCGACTCTGCTGGAGGTGACTCGTGCGGCACACGAGGAGGTGGAGCGGCTTGAGCGTCTGATAGTGAAGGACCTTCAAAATGAGCCCGCGTCGAACAAGGACCGCTTGTTTCAGAGTCACCGCGTGCGAAATATGATCGATACTATCACTTCTACCACTGAAAAGCTCGTAAGTCGGTTCTCTCAACTTCGAATTTCAGTTATTAGGTTGTGTTTGCTCCTCGACGAAACTTCTTTTTAGGTTAATGCAAAATAAGCGCCGAGATGATAAATTATTAATTGGAACTCTTCCACTTCTTGTTTCTGAAGTGAAAGCAATCTTAGCTTGATGTTAAAAAACCGAAGTAGCTCCTTAGTTGAGTTGTTAGGAACTGACCAAAAAATCACATTCGGGGAGAGGGGATGGTATTTCCAATCACTTAATGTTCTGCTGTCAGCGTAGAGTGTTGTTGTTTTTTGACCAATTCTGTTTCAAGTAAATAAGTTTTGGTGAAGTAAGATCCAAACTAGAATCTATTTTTCCTTTCCATTTTTTTTTTAATTCCTCTGGACTACCCTGTGAAGACTGTTGTAATCTATCGTTCCTCTTTCCTCTTTATTTTAATTTACTTTTCATCTATCTTGTCTTGCGAATTAAAACAGAGAAGTTAGCTGATTTTCCGTTTGTCGGTTTCAGATTGATATATACGAAGATAAAGACAATGCAAGGAAAGATGAAATTGCTGCACTGGGGGGTCAAACTGCAACTGGAACAAATGTGTTTAGTGCGTTTTATGATAGACTGAAAGAGGTAATGTTTACATATGTAGAAGCTTTATAATAGAAATAGGAGAGATGCCTTTTTGGAATCGGGAGTTGTATTCTGTCTGCATCCATCGTTTTTATCTTGTCTTTACATCTTATTCTCATGTGGGTTTATTCTAGCGCCAACTATCTAAGAGCTTTATGTTTACATGTGCATATTGCTGTGTATCAGTGTATGTGGAAGACGTCATTGAAATTTGAACTAGTAAAAATGATAGCATCTTTATGCATATGTTGAAACTGAGTTCTCTGAGTTATTTGATCCTAATTGCTTTTATGCGTTTAATACATTGGTATCTTGTGATATGTGCAGATACGAGAGTATCATAGAAAGCACCCGGCTGCACGTGTTGTTGATGCTAATGATGACTATGAAGAACTTCTCAAAGAGGAGCCTCAAATTGAGTTTAGTGGAGAGGTCTGTCTGTCTGTCTCTCTCACCTACACACACGCACGCATACAAACCTACCCACCCGTACCCGATTACCATGTTGCATAATTACATTACTTGATGGGTGATAAAGAAACGTGCAGTCTTTTGTAGCAAAAGAATAATATTGCAACAGGCAATGCTCTGAAGGATATAAAGAATTCGTTGTGACTTATGTTAGCTTGTAGAATACATCCTGTCAAATTTTAAGTTCAAGGCTTCCCTACCCTCTCTGTGCAACCTTGGCATGAATAGTTTGGGTTTTGGGGCCATTCCTGTTGAGATTTTAAAATATGTCCCTATTCAAAGAATCAAGATAATTGACTCTTGGAGCAATTTAATTTCACAAGTTTCTCTAAATATTATTTTGGATATAATTTTACAAAAGCTAGGCAGTTATTGTGAACCATTTCTTTACATAAATTATGCAATAAGAAGAGTTTAAGAATATATCCACATGGACCTTAATGTCCCATTGACCTTGAATTGGCGGTGTGTTTGAGCATTTAATTGTCCTCCTGTTCCATCAGGAGATCCAGAGATGAGATTCTTGTATGATGCAATTTGTCCTTGGACGGTGGTTTTAGTGAGTCATGTAAGATGAAATCTAATATGTTGTACTGTTAGGATACATGATGCTTCATTTTTCAAACTGAGAATGTTTTCTCTTCTGCCTTTTATGGTTATTGATTTCCTTGAGATATTGGTTTCAGGAAGCTGTTGGGCGGTACTTAGACTTGCATGAATTGTACTATCAGTATGTTAATTCCAAATTTGGTGAGCCAATTGAGTACTCTGCTTACCTTGATGTTTTTTCACAAACAGAGAAGATCCCACGCAAAATGAAAATGACTAGGTATATTCCCTTATCCTCATCCTTTCTGTTGCATGTTTTTGTTTATTTGGTATTTAGTGTTCCTCCGATGTTGGTAAGTAACTTTCTGAGATGTCTTAGTTTCTGCCATCCTATTTTCTACAGGCAGTACAGGGAATATATGGAGAATCTTTTGGAGTATCTCATATATTTCTTCCAGCGGACAGAACCCTTGCAAGATCTGGATCGAATTTTCTCTAAGGTGATTATTTTCAATTATCTTTCTTTTGCTTCGCTAACTTGAGCTTGATTTATGCTCTAGGTGCACTAGGGTGGCTTTCTGCTTGGAATTATTTTTCATAGTATTTCTTTGCCGCAACTTTAATTGTAGTGTTAGCCATCATTATACTTTGGCTGTAGATGTGTCCTATAAATATGTGTTGTTCTTCTGTAACCATTTATTCAAAAGAGAAAAAAATAAAATTAAAAAAATCCTTCAATTACTATAGTTTTATACTCTTGCAAAATGTTGGTAAACTATATAGTTATAAAGAAACTGCCAAGATTCTCTTTAACAAAACCCCTCTAACTCTAAAATGCTTCATTCCCATTATTAATTATTGTTAACTTGATTGTTTGAATAAACTTTTGAATCAGATTATGCGATTTTTTTTTTTAAATAATTTCATATGCACAAATGCATGAATTGAATGGCCAGTTTGACCAAAAATTATCATGTAATTCCTGCTTCAAGTTTCAAGTCTGATCCTTCACTTGTGGGCGAGAGTTTTGTTGAATTAATGCTATATCATGGAGTTCCTGAATCCTCAAAGATAATTCTCCATTCTCATACTCTAGGACACCAAGGACTCCTTGTGCATTATTTCGTCTCTCTCTTTTTTCGGTAGTGAGCGTCTGATTGAATTGCAGGTAACAGCTGAGTTTGAAGAAAATTGGGCTGCAAACAAGTTACCTGGATGGGAGAATGACATTCAAGAGAATGGACACGTACCTGCTCAACACACTGCAATTGATCTTGATTACTACAGTACAGTTGAAGAGCTGACAGAATTGGGTCCTGAAAAGTTGAAAGAGGTGAGTTTAAAATTGGTAACATGATAATTCACTTATCACATATATTTAAAATACCCATCTGTCCCATTTAGAACGAAGCAAGAATGCATCCAAAATAAGCTTTTCCACATCGTTTGCCCCATTTCTCGTTTGAATACTGAACAGCCGCTTGTACTTGATATGTACAATGTCATTGATCCAACTTTTATTCCTTGACATCGTGCTGTGGTTTTTACTCTAAATTAATTTGTCTGTTGAGGTTGTCATTTTTAGTTGCTTTGGGAATTGTAAGAAGTTTAAACAGCAGTACCTTTTCACTGTTGTGCCATTTTGATTCACAACTTTTGGCGATTACTCCTCAGATCAGAGATTCAATTACGATCATTGTATTTGTTACTATATCTTTACTATCTTCTGTCTTTATGAATGGCAAATATTAGGTACTGTTCAATTCAAGTTAATGATTTATAAAACAAGTTTGGTTTATTGATCTCCCTCTTCTTTGGTATTCCAGGCATTGGCTGCATTGGGACTTAAGACTGGGGGTACTGTTCAGCAACGGGCAGAGAGGCTGTTCCTTACAAAGGTGACTCATCCGTTTCTGCAGAGTATATTTTTTTGGGAATGAAAATGGGAATAAGAATGGAAATGGTAATGAGGATGATGTTTCAAGGAATGGGATGAGCGTGTTTGGCATGTTAAAGAAAGGAATGAAAACTTGTGTTTGGTTGGACAGTAATATTCGTAACACAAAAACATACTGAAACATTTATTATTAACTAGATTTGTTTAATAGATATATATTCAATTTTTAAATTATTTGATTCATATTTTTAAAATATTAAATATTTCTTGTTCATCAATAATAAGTAATCTTATAATTATAAATGATTATTAAGTTATCGTTACAAATATAAGAAAATATGATTTTTTCTACTCGTCTCTATTCTTAAATGAAATATGATTTTTATTTTATACTTCTAGAAATAGTTTTTATTAAATGATATTGTTGATAATAAAATTATTTTAATTTATGGATGGTGATTATAATATAAAGATAAAACTTTCAGTATTGAAGGCTACTTTAGTCAATTTAATGAGGATTCCAAAATCAAAAGATTGATCGAATCAAAATCTGTTTCTACCAACTAGACATCCCCTGCAGTGGAATGCGTCTTCCATTCCTATTCCACACGCTGCATTACCATGAACCAAATATACTTAAGTTGCTTTGTCCTCTCTTCTTTCAAATTGACTGTCTTTTATCCAATGCTGTTAGTCCAAAAGTGAGAGCTCTGTTTAGAAGAGTCAAGTGCAATATTTTGATGTTAATTTTGTCTATTTCTTCTTACTAACTCTTGTTGACGTCCTCATCATGACTTCCATAATTAAGCATTTTTTGTTTTGATTGAGATTGCATTACTTGTCCTTAAGCTTTGACTCAGGAAAAATTTTATTGGCTTTCTCATGCAGCATACACCTCTTGAAAAGTTGGACCGGAAGCATTTTGCCAAGGGACCACGAGGTTCAGAAAAAATGGCACTGCCGCAGTTCCACAAGAAGATGAAAATTCAAAGGAAATTGCACTGCTGGAGGCCAAGCTGTCCAAGTTATGCGATCTGTTAGAAGAGGTTAGCATATGTTGCTTGTCATTAAGTCGGCAGCCTTTTTAAAGTTTCTGCTACTTTCATTTAATCTAGAGTTTTATTGGTTGGGGTATTTGACGGGAGTGTTTTGACCAGATATCAGCTGCATATATTATAACTTACTGCATTTATGAATTTTCTCTGACCATGATACAGACAATTGCACGAACAAAAGACAATGTTGTGAAGAAGCAAGCCTTGACATATGAAGAAATTGAAGCAGAACGTGAGGAGGTGAGTTGAACTTAAAAGCTAAGGTTCAATAGTACATAGATATGAAATGTTTTCTTGGGCCACTTTTTCATAATTTTGTGGAAGAAATCAGTAATATTATATAATTTCTATCTGAATGCTATAACTTGAACTCATTACGGGTACCTATCTTGTACTCTCAAAACATTGAGGATGATGGCCATTGCGGGAGTGAGGTATCATCAGTAATGATTGGTTGTCATATGAGTCAACTATCATGCTTAAGTTTGAAATTGATCTTGGTTGTTTTGGCCCATTGTGTGACAATCGCATCTCGAGTTGGCTCTCCTAACCAAATAGAAAGTAGAACACATTATTATTTCACTTGTAGATGCATTAATTTGTGTTGAATTTCTTGTGTTTAAAAGTGGAGATTGTGCTGGGCTTATATGTGGTGCCTAATGTAAATTGAAGGTGGTCCTTCCTTATAATAACCGAAAGTGTAAAACAGAAAATTCGTCTGCCAGCTTATTGCAGAGACCCTTTTTTTTTTTTTTGGACCTGCGAAACTAAGTTATTGCTAAGTTGCCGGTGAGGTTGACTTGTTTAGACAAAAAATGGTTTCTGAAAATTGTCTTGTGTAACACTTTGACAGCCACAAAATTTTTCACTTGGGGAGTTTTTTTTCCATTCTATAAATATACATTCCTTCCAATCGTGAGTAGAGAATATCTTGGGTTCTTCACCTTTTTCTTTGCATTTCCGTTGTACCTTCAATTCCAGATGCAGATAATGTTAAATTGGTGACTTGTGTTTCATATCCTTGACAGGAAGAAACACAGGAGGAATCTGAAAGTGAAGATGAGGAACAGCAGATATATAATCCCCTAAAATTGCCAATGGGATGGGATGGGAAGCCTATACCTTATTGGCTTTATAAGCTACATGGTCTTGGCCAGGTATTATTTTCCTTTCAAAGTGAGAAACTGAGATTGTCGTCCTTTCACTTTTGTGGTTATGGGAATTATCCATTCTGGGAATTATAAATTGTTGGTCTTACTTAAACTAGCTGAGGGGCTTGCCCTCTTATACTTAGGGAGTCCACAGGATTCCTTTTTTTTTTTTTTTGGATAAGGGAGCCCACAGGATTCTAACCATAAATAAGTGTAATTTGATTTGCATCTCAGGAATTCAAGTGTGAGATATGTGGGAACTACAGTTATTGGGGGCGTAGAGCTTTTGAACGGCATTTCAAAGAATGGCGCCATCAGCATGGGATGCGCTGCCTTGGTATACCAAATACCAAGAACTTTAATGAAATAACGTCAATTGAGGTACACATTTTTCTTTGTTCTTTCTATTTCTTTGCTAATAGTGTAACATGTTTTACAAATCACAAGTATGGTCATAAAAGTGCTTATTTGTACTGCTGGAGACACCTCCTCTTGTTACATAGTCGTTATTATATCCCACCAGGTTGGCAGGTTATTCATGGTTTAGAATAAATTGAGATGGAATGCACTTTGCAGCAAAAATATTTATTTCTGCTCATCTAATTTGCAAATGACACCTGAATAATCTGTTGTTGAATTTCATTGCCCGTGTATCCTACCATCAAAGGTCTATTTGGCATAACATGAAACAGTTTCCATTTTTAATGCATACAAAAAATGAGATGCATAACGTCTATTATATCTTCGTTATAATTACTCAACCATGATTGCCTTAATCACATTTCGATGGGATGAGTCGATTTTGAATTGGATTGATCATTTCTCAACAACGAGAAATGGATTTAGTTGACATGATTCTTGTCAAAGGGATTCTTTCAACGGCTGAAATCTCAACCATCTCACCTCTTAACCAAACTTGAAACGTGTGGGCCATCTGTGATGCAGGAGGCAAAGGAACTCTGGAAAAGAATACAAGAAAGGCAGGGAGTGAACAAGTGGCGCCCAGATCTCGAAGAAGAATATGAAGATAAGGAAGGCAACATCTACAACAAGAAGACATATACTGATTTACAGCGCCAGGGACTTATATAAGAGGGCCGCTCCTAGCTTGACTTTAAAAGGGGAAGTAGGGAAACGATGGCACTTTAATTATATTGGACTACGAGGTGGAAGATTTGGGCACAGGAGCGGTTTTGGGTTTACTTGCGCTTTAGCATGTGTCATTGATGATCCAATGAGATGAGGGAAGGGAGGAAAAAGGGTTGTCATTCAGGTTAAATGGCACGAGGGAAGATTTTTACATCACAATTTCTTTACTATCAGTTATATGTAGCCTGTTTATCACCTGTCCGATTTTCAGCCCATTAATTAAAGAAACAATGTACGATGTTGCCCGGAAATAGACGTTGTCACTTGTCAGCACCAACTAGAACGCCAGTGTTCAGTCCAATCTTCCAAGGTGGCATTGCATACTTGCTATTCATTGAAACAATATCCATCTGAAGCTGAAACGATAGCACCAACTAGAACGTTACTGTTCATCCAATCTTCCAAGGCAGCATTATATGCTTTTTGAATCGACGAAATGCTGCGAAGCAACAAAAAATTTAATGGTCTGATGGGACAACTTTTATCGTATTGCTGAGCGATTATTTATTATCAAATGGGAAATAGTTGTATGAACTTTCTGTTATTAAAAAGGTTGAGTCATGCTGTTAGTAGCGTACCTCTTTAATCAAATAGTCTTTTTTAAAAAAAGTATAATCATATGTTGTATAAATTAATACAATGTCAGCAGCCAATGGTTATTTAAAATAATTTTTTATGAAAAGTAATAACACTCAAAGTGCTTGTCACATTTATGATTACTTAAACTCTCATTACAACTGTTCTGTTAATATAAATTTCTTAATTAAAATTACAATTCTTTTAAAATAAAAATGAATATATATTTATTCGAAAGTATTCCATTTCAACTCATGATGAATAATAGGCAGACTCTGAAAAGAAAAAAAAAAAAATAGAGGCAAGGAATTTCTCCCCACCGCTGTATAGGGAAGCTTAAAATTCCTATTACAGAGGATCGGCTCTTCATTGTATTTGTCTTGCACTTTCTTACATTACCTTACTAATTGTTTGGCATCATTCATAAAAGCCCTTATAAATATATTTTAGCCAAGTTGAGATAAAACTCCTCTCATATACTTATCTTGTATTTCATAAATTATTATTAAAAAAGTGTTTATAAACCATTCCAAATGATACTTATCTGTTTGCTTTTGGTTGTATTTCATTTACAGGATCAAGCAAATACGAGAATTTTGATTTGATAAAAACAGTCCAAGTTTATTATTTTCTCTTTTTTATCATCTCCCGACAAGACACAGTCCAAATTATTTTGACATTTAAGAAGTATTTGGATGGAAACTAAACCAAATCATGTCCTTGATGGGACATGGTCTCAATTTACAAAAAAAAGCTCTTAAAAAGCATTTTTAGGGATATCCAAATACTCTCTTAAATAAAATCGCCTGCAACTAATCTAAAACCACACAAATTTATTTTTGTCACCTTCCAACACCAGTGCCGCTACCGCCCCAATCGTACAAATGAGACAATTCTCACATTAATCTCTTCATGTTGCTTCTAAATGCAAGACTCTCTGGAGTTCATCTACGGCAAACTTCCCTTTTTCCCATAGCTTTCTTTGAAGACCAATTAAAATTTAGATTTACATTTATTACATTTTGGTTCATGGTTTAAAAAGGTGCGCAAATAAAAAAAATGACGTGGGAGAAAACGGCGGGTAACGGTAGGACCGGCGCGAGGAAACCTGATGGAGAGAGGATGTAGATGGAGGAGAGGTCAGGGGAGATATTTAGAGAGACGGACGTGGACGTGCGATGAACCCGTGGAGAAACGTTTCCAGCATTCCGTCACACGCAATTCTCACACGCTTCCTTTCTATATATGACTGAACGGCGATTTTTAACTTAACTCTCTTTTTGGTTGATCCTCTCCAACGGCCTCCAATTCTGATTCCGATTCCGGTAAGTTTCTATCCGCTTGTTTCTTTCTTTTGTCCTTCCTCTTTCACCTCGTTCATTTTCACGGTGTCTTTCTTTTTCTTTGGAAAATGCCTGCTTCTAGACTTGTGATTTCGCTTGATCTAAGCAAGCTTCCCAATGCTTCTGTTGGATTAATCGAACTCTCTCTGGGTCTGTGTCTTATGGTTTGATTTTGTTCAGTCAAGAAAACAGCAATTACTTGGTTCTGCTGTCTATAAAAATCATAATTACTCACTCCAAAAATGTGGTATTAAGAAGGGTGTATGGTTCTTGACGCATCCTGACAAAGCTAAACTTAGTATTTAATTACCAATGAGTTCGTTAACATGTTCAACACTTGAGCGGTACCCAACCCCACAACACGAAGGAAAGAAAAAGTCTTTTTGATGAGTCTTCCATTTAAATTTTCATGCATGCTGGACTCTTTCTGACGATTTACTGATGCACATGTAATCGTTTATGTTCAGAGTTGTAATCAATGGCGCTCTGGAGTACTGGGCTAAACCCAGCACTGGAGACGAACAGCTTAGCTTATTCAACCCGAAATTTGTCGACAAGACTTGTTGTACCTGTTCCCTTGCGTTTTATTAGGAAATTCTCTAATCTAGGCAGAAGACAACATGAACGAATTTACTGTTCTTCATTAAGGAAAGCCTCCTCTGCGTCTTCTATGGAGTCACAAGAAGATGCTCCCGGTGCTTTATCAGCTTCCGTGGAGGAAGAACTGGATCATGTTATGCGGTTCAAAATGTCAGACTTTAAGATTTTAGATCGCATCAGTGTTGGCCTTGGGGGGCGGGTATGGGGTCTAAAATAAGTTTGTGGTGAGTCATGCATGGTTTATATTTATGTTGGTGGTCTGATTGATTTGAGTTTTGCTATAGGCGGATGAGGTAGTTTTTGAAGCCGTTGTGAAGGATGTTGGTAGGTAAGTAACTTCTTTTTTAGGTTCTGGTCGCATGGGTTAGCCATGAGCATAATGTCTGTAAATTCGTTTCCAGCCCCTATATAATACGAGTGTTGTACTTCGGCAACTATCCAGTGTGCAAGCTCAGCGTCGAGGGAAACGGGCTATAGAGGTGGGTAGATCTGACAGTGTCAAAATCTAAATAGGCCCTGTCCCATCATAATTCATTGTTGGTGTTTTCTACTTCTAGGTATTGAAGAAGCTGGTTCGCCGTAAACTTATGTATCATTCTTACTCGTTGCAAGTACATGGCTATATCTCATTGCCTGCAGATGATCATCGGGGCTCATTTATCCTAGTCCATGGGGTAGGTTTTAAATCATTGGAGATATGTATATTTTAAAACTTCTTTTATGCATGATCATGCAATTCCATTTGAATAAAATAAAATGTTTTGACAGAGTCTTATTTGATTAGAAACATGTAACAAATGAGCATGCGATTTCTTGTTTAGAATGCTTTGTCAGAGTCTAATTTGATAAAAAAACATGTAACAAGCTGCTTCTAATTAATGCATTTAAAAGTCCAAAAGAAGAATTCATGTGCAAGCTCTTTCTTGGTTTCACTTTTTTGTGGTGCAGTATCATGGTAGTTTTTCTTTGAGGCATTGGCTTCAACAGTCAGATTGGCTTCCAACTTTAGAGGCCACCCTTGCACTGGATGAAGAGTATGTTAGGAAGGTTGGGGAAGACACAACTGGCGGTCCTGCCATTTCTAGGAAGCTGAGGATTATTCGCATATTGATGAGGGATCTTTTAATTGGAGTAAATTTCATTTTCTCTTAATTGCTTCTTTTGTGCGGAAGGCATCCTCGTTTATAAATACTTTGTCTGTTCTATAAAGCATTTAGAGGAATGATAGCTCTCCCATTCATCACTTACTGTAGGTAAATTACTTACACAGCCATGGTCTTGCCCATACTGAGTTGAGGCTAGAAAATTTGCATATAAGCCCTGTGGACCGACATATTAAAGTAAGCACTGGAACTTGTCTATGATTTTTCTTTGTGCCTTTTACATGGATTACCTTTACTACTTCCTCAGACAGAAGTGATTTGTTGCTTGTTTATTTCGTGCCCCAACAGGAAAATTTGGATTTTGTCTCCGTAGCTAGGTTTTGCTGAAATTGGCTAGATGCCCCTCTCTATGCTAAATGTCTAGATAAACTGATGATGCTGTGAAATGAGAGTTGGGGGGGGGGGGTCAGGAATACAATAGAGCTGCTAAATTGATCGATTCCAAGGGGTTGATAAACCTTTATCATAAACTTGCTTTGAGATATTGTGAAGATGATGTGATCTGATATTTGCATCCAACCACTGTAAATTAATAATTGTTGCTTATTGACATATAATATATTAAATTGATTTCTTGCCTGAAACTGATTATTCTAACCTTTAATCTTATATTTTCAGGTAGGTATATTGGGAAATGCCGCTGACTTTTATGAGGATGGTTCGGATACTGCTTCAGTGGACAGCATGGACAGGCGACAGATGATGATTGCATTTGACATGAGGTAGTGTTTGGGAAATTGTCACTGAAAGCATGGTCTGCAGCTATGTGCATGATACTTAATCTGGAAAGTCTTCTTCATACCTTTTTTTTTTTTTTTTGTCACAAAGATGTGTTGGTTTCATTATGGCAAAAATGGTGTTGCCGGAGCTTATGGATCCTTCGATCTTCGCAAAGTGCAAAGCATTCCTCACAAAGGTATGAGAAGCTAAATTTTTTTTAATTAATTTTAAATATCACCTCCACCCTTTTCCTTAATAAATTGAATCTTTGACCAAGAAGCTTGAATTTTTAAGTTATGCTTCTTTATATCTCATAATCTCTTTTGCATGCGATTCAAGTTGTTTATAGATTTACTGATAATTTGATAATGGGGCATGAGCTATTGTCATTGCGGGGAAAAAGCAGAGGGTGTAATACTTAGATTTTTCAGAAAAACAAGAAGTGGTTGGCCATTCTCCTTAGTTGGCACATGATAAACACTTCAAATATTACAAATATAAGTGGGAACTCTTTTTAATTTAGGATTTATATCATACACTT